ACACGATGTTTTATATCACGGCGACAAAACTAACAGAGTACCTTCCAAATGTTCACAAGTTCACCTTTAATTATATTGAGAGTGGCCACGGGAAAGGCGCTCCAGATGGCGTTGGAGTCACTTGTAAGAGGATCGCGGATGGTGTAGTAGCTGCTAGAGAAGTTTGTGGAAGCCATAGAACAGATATGCCCTGCTGTTACTCTGATTGTTGTCTCAGATGATGATATTCTAAAAATGAGCGCTAAAGTAGAAAAAGAAGTTTGCAGAGTAAAAAATTTTGTTGGTACCCTCAAAGTGCATCAAGTCTTCGGAAAATTCTATAACTCTTTGGGCTTAAAATCCGAGTCAGTTGAGATAGTGATAAACATCTAAACTGATTTTGTAACAAAGATGGTTACCTTCACTTTAACATCGGAAAATATTAAACTATGAAAATAAAGTGAAACTAACAGTTGTTGAAGTATTCACTGACCCAGAATCTGATGAAGCCAGACCCAGCTCTTCCGCAGCTAAGGCACTCATCAAGGGAGATTACATCCTAGTCGAATCAGTCTAAAAAATGTGCAATATAGATATGTAAGCGTAATAAACAAAATCGATGAGGAAGATGGGGAAATTCGAGTCACATTTTTAAAGCTGTACGATAATAATGGTGAAACATTTAGAATCGGTCTGGACGATATAGCAGTTACTACAATGGATCAAATGATAATACCTAATCGAAACATACTTTTAAAGGGAAATAGAATATTTTATACATTTGATCCACCTATTAAAGTTTTTTTAAACTAATGACTGACTGTAAAATACTGATTATGTTACCTTAAGCTTACGTAGTTATGCAGCTGTTAGAAGAGTATTATAAAAGTATTGATTTTTTTTGTTTACCGAAGAATTACTTTAATTGTTAATATCCAAGTTTAGAGAAAATAAAATATTTAACCCAGATATGCCTAGCGTACAATTTATGGTACACCGTAAACAAGTCGCGACTTGCAACGACCTGTGCTTATTTTGACGCGGTAATAGCACAGATGTATTCAGTAAGCTTTAGTAAATCGTAACGTGCGGTTGTGTGTTATCGTTGTATTGAGAAGTTTTTATTTTTTGTGACATGGCTGAATATGGAATATGATTTGCCAAGTAAGTAAATATATGGTCTTTACGTAAATAAAAAAAATGTTTTGATTGCTTCTACCAATAAAACACATATGCTTTTTTCCAGTTATAATGCCAAATTACTTATGTTATTATTTCGGATTCAATTGCGTCATTATATTTGAGTGTGCAAAATATTGTACGCCAGGAAAATACATGCCTGTTTCATTTTTAGGGGCTTTTCTCTGGATGAAGCCCTTGCTATGCTGGATGATAATGAAGATGTAGTAGCAAATGTGGATAATATCACATTGATGCCTCCAATCAATGCTTGTGACATTCTCACAGACGAGGACTCCGGCGATGAGAATGTCAGCTAATAATCTACCGGGTTCACAATTACAAGCACCTGCTGAGATAAACATACCTCATGAAAAATTTAGCATTTCTTCATCTGATTCCGAAGATAATATTCCATTGTCTGAACTTGCTAAAAAAATAAAAAATAAAAAGTTAAAGAAACGAAAAACGTACAAATGGGTGAAGGAGGATCTACCACAAGAAGTTCCAGGAAACTTCGAAAAAATTCTTGAACAAAATAATTCAGACTTCACTTGAATGGTTTTCACTTTTTTTGACGGCGAACTTATAACAGGCAGAACAACTGAAACAAATAGATATGCCAGGCAAAAGAATCGCCAACAAGAGGTGCAAGAGTATGAAATAAGGGCATTTATTGGAACACTAATATTGAGTGGTTATGTCGATGTACCACGTAGAAGAATGTTCTGGGAACGTGACAGAGATGCTAATAATCAACTCGTCACAGAAGCGCTTACACGAGATAAATTTGAGTATATTATGTCAAATTTCCATTTAGTAGATAACTACAATTTACAGCAAGGAGATAAGTTTGCAAAAGTTAGACCTTTATTTGCGAGCCTGAATCAAAAATTTATGGAACATGGAATTTTGACAGAAATGCATACAGTAGAGGAGGCAATGGTTCCTTATTTTGGGAGACACTCATGCAAACAGTTCATTCACGGAAAACCTACGATACGGCTATAAATTATGGGTTGGCGCATCAAGACTAGGCTACGTTTATTGGGTTGAACCTTACCAAGGGTCGTCAACCAGCATTAGTAAGAATTATGCAGTTTTGGGGGTTGGTGCTGGTGTAGTATTAGAGTATTCTGATGCACTGAGGAGAAAATGGCCAAATGAAAAATTTCATTTAGTTTTCGACAATTTTTTCACTTCTCTCACTCTTATGGTAAATTTGACAGAAAACAAAATTCTTTGCGACTGGTACTGTTAGAGAAAATTGTTTACAAGGCGTCCAATTCAGAGATTCTAAAATTATGAAAAGGGAAAAAAGAGGTAGTTACGATTACAACAAAATTTCCGATAGAAACATAATTGCAGTAAAATGGCATGATAATAATTTAGTAACATTCTGTTCAAATGCCGCAGGATTGCAACCAATTCGCTTTGTAAAGCGATACTCTCAAAAGGATAAAAAAAAGTATTCAGGTAAGAAACACAATCTGCAAGAAAATCAATGTTTTCAAAATTGCTTTTGATTTTAGGTAGAACAGCCTCATCTTGTAAATGTATACAACGCAAATATGGGCGGCGTTGATCGTTGTGATCAAACTATTGGTCTGTATCGCATTTCCATCCGGGGTAAAAAGTGGTATTTTTCATTGATCAGCCACTGTATTGATATGGCTGTTCATAATCCATGGCAACTTTATAGATCAATATGGATCAATTATTATTTAGACGGCGGCTTGCCAGAGCCTTGTTACAACAAAACAAGAAACCGCCATCTTTTTCTAGAGGACGTCCTTCGGCTAATGAATATATAGATATTCGTTATGATCGTTTAGATCACGTTGTGATACTACAAGAAAAGCCAACTAGATGTGGCTTATGTCATGATAGAGCAAAAACAAGGTGTTCTAAGTGCAATGTAGGGATGCATGTAAAATGTTTTTTGTCCTTCCATACTAAACCTTAATGTTCGCCTATGTGCCTAGTACGGCATTTTTTGCACTTTTTCCTAAAATACAATTTAAAAAATAATAAATTTGTTTAATATATGCTTCATATAGAATGAATTTGCAGAGAACATACTTTATTATAATTTATTTGAGCTGTAGGCATATCTGGGTTCCCTGTTTCAATAATTTATAAAATGCTTGATATTTCCTAAATTATGACCTATATTTTTGGGTTCCCTGTGGTTTGCCATTAAGCTTGAAAGTATACATCTCCTAAGTAAGATGTTTCAAACATTTAAACAAAAAAGTGGGCGAGACAGTTCTTCCTAATAAGTTTACCAGTTTACAGAGAAATGCCCATTTAGTTTATAGGGCCCTACGCGAAATATTACACATATTTTAGTAACAAAAAAGAAACGTACGCTTGAAATTTCTAATCTGAAATTGCTCATTTGACCAATTAGCGTCTTTAGAACTGTATATATATGCAGCCTTACATTAAAGAATATAAAATTCCGATTTTCTTTTTTTTTTATTTATTTTCTACTCATTTAAGAACCGAGCCAAAAAACACGTTTTGTAGGCTCTAAAGAATTTGAAGTAGGACAGCAAAATTGCAATTCACAGTAACACACTACTCTTAACATTATACTAGTTTTCTAATTTAACGACATCCTTGTTAGATATCAGATGCCCCAATTAATTTAGCAAAGGGGAACTCATAATAAATAGGTTTGCAACAGGAGGTGGGAAATGATTAACTATAACATTCTATTAATTAAAAATATGGGAACATTCTTTTAAGTTGAAAAACATGATTTAAATCACACTTGATAAATTTGTAAATTATCAATAAAATGAAAGATAACGGTTTATAAATGAAAATGTGATTCGATTAATACGTTTTAATTTTATAATTACCCAGCAGTGTGAAATCTTCATTTCGATAAATATGTGTAAATAAAAGTTTGTTCTTGTTGTCATTTCCTGTATTGTCCATATTTTATAAAAACGTGGCAATATTTTTAAGGTAGAAACTACATCCAAAAATAACAAAAAGTTCCTATGAAGTTAGGTCGTAAAATGTCCCATTCCCGAGATACAGGGCGTTGTAAATTTCGACGCCACCGATGAGACTGATTAAAGACAAAGCACAAACAATGTTTAAATTACGCTGTGGTGAGTTAGGATTACTTTCCTAATACACAACATACAATTTCAGTGTCATAGTTCACTAACTTCAGCGTATGTGCATCACGAAAAACCATGTCACACATTTCAAACTACGCCAAGGATGAAAAAGTTGGCAGAGATAAAGGACAAAAACAACAAATAAATATCACTAGAACTTCGTTTTTTGACGATTCAGAGGATCTTGATCATTTTCAGAGAATGTTGGGGGTTGTAGGGGAAGGGACAGAGTATATTTCATTTTTTTTGTGCTAACAATTTATATGTTTTTTACTTCTCATGAAAATCGGAGAAGACAATAGGTTCCATTTCATATTCATATAATTTCAGTAAAAATTGCGTGCATAACAGACGCTGGTATGAAATACAGGAGCTTCTTATTTGAATCCCATATACACATTTCATTAGAATTTGACTAGATAACAATGAATATTGAATAAAAACAACCATAAAACACAATTACCTTAAACACGTCTGGAATAACAAAAAGTACTAGATGTTGTGAAGGCCTTCTGTCCCCGGTTTGACCCTTCGCAAATATATGGCTCTGTTTTTGTTTTAATTGTGAAATTTGCTAGAGTAGACAACCAGTAATGTACTGTCATACCAATTCAAAGATCAAGGTCAATAAAGGCGACCTGCAGTAGAAAGTGTCCCCTTTTGATGTACCTTCTCTTTCGTATAACATTTCTCTTCTTTCAGTGATTTACAATTATCATCCCAATGCCCGCGAGGAACCTTACATGATGCCCCTCACAGTTGGGGATTCAGTCCGAATTCTAGAAGAGGATAGCGACTGGTACTATGGATACCGCCTAGGTAGCCGAAAAACGAAAGGTGCCTTTCCAAAGTCATATGTGCACATCAAGGACGGCTCCGAAGGTCCGATTACCAAGGAGATTGCGGAGGTGCTGAAAGAATGGGGGGTACATTGGAAGAGATTATATGTAGTATGTATTTTTTTTATTATTTGGTCATATCTGGGAGATGGCTAAACAAGGGCGTTCGTAGTTTAGCCAGCTTAAATGGAGAGAACATTTTTCACATAAATTAAATGATTCACGTACAGGGTTCTCCACAAGCTTAATCAATATCTATTACATGAGAAATAACTAGTATTATTTGAAATGTATATAAACTTAATATTGCTCAAAGCACTATACTGGGTGATTCACCAATGTGGCTCACCCTTATAATTTTTTTACTATTGAAGATAGAAAAACGAAATTTGAGGGTTGCGTATTGTGGATGAATTACTTGCGGTTTGACCGGAAACAACTTTCGATTTTTACTTATTTCGATCGAGCATGAAATTCTGAACTCAACAACGCGTCATCATTTTTATTTCATTTGTTATCAAGTAACCCGAAAAAAAAATGATGCGAACAACCTTACAGTTATTTTAAAGATTTTCTAAAAGCTTCAAACACTAATTTTTTCAGTTTACTTGGTTTTTTCAAATAGAAAGGGGGTGGCTCGTCGGCTTTTACTTCGGGGTACATTTTGGGATACTGCGGATAATAATCTTTGGCAGCTACGTTATACAAATAATCATGGATAGCGCTATATCTCATGTAACATGTATCATAGGTGCATACAACATCAAATGATCATGATCAGTTGAAGTACCTGTTATGTAAATTAATGTATTAGGTAGATGAATGTCGCAAATTGGGGTCATCATGATCTGAACGTATGACCATTAGTGGTCTTATGAAAATTTGAGTTATAAATGATTGCTAATGAAACATATTGTGGTTTGCGGTACAGCGTAATTGCAAGGGTGGTCAAAATTCATAAAAAATGCTAAACATCATTTCAGAATACAATCGCTGCTCGCGAATCCGCTAAAATTGAAACTACATACTATTATAGATTCGGATTAGCAGATTAAACTGATTCAAGCGCCCCATTCATCCGTGTTTATGCCAGCTTTTTAAAAACATTATTAGTTAACCAAAAACCGATGTTACCATCGCTTTAGTATGTCATCAAATTGATACGAGAACACAAGAAAATAAAATACTTGAGGGTACAGTATGTGAAACTCAAAGTGTTATAATTTTACTTGTGTTTCGAATATATACTTGTTTATGCAAGCAAGTTATACAGTTTTGTAGCCAAATGCTTTGTTTCAGTCACATGACAAACATTTTGATCAAATCAAAAGTCAGATTTATGACCTTATCTCGTACCGCAGCAAGATTTTAAGCGGTACCCTACCTGTTGATGAAATGAAGCGTCTCACAAAGCGTGCTACTGAAGAAATCGACATGGGCAATAAAATTCTTGGATTAGACTTGGTGGTCCGGGACAAGAATGGAAACCTTATAAATCCTAGTGAAAGTAGCACCATACAAATGTTTAACCTGCACAAACAAGCAACTGAAAGGATGAGTTGTAAAGTTAAGGTAAGCATATTGTATTTTTCTGAATTAGTAAACTGAAATTAGAAGTCAGCTTGGTGATTAATCAAGGTAACTCGCGAAAAAATGTCTTAGAATACGCTGTGCGGGCTTGGAAATGTTTATTGTTTGAGAAGCACTGGCGATAAAAATACCTGTAAAAAAGTTCGTGGGGGAGATTTTCAAATAACTAATAGTTTAAATAGCAAAAACCGCGAAGGCGCATATTAAGAACTAGGTTATTAATGGTTAGCACGGGAAAGTAGCGTGATACAGCGATTTAGCTTAGCATATTGTCACATCCGGAAGCTGATTGCTGTTATACAAGGTGTCCCAAAAGTCATGGATCAAATAGAAGGGAGGGGGAAGTGCACTAAATTTTGAAAATTCCCGTTTGTGAACTTATCATATAACTGCGATTGTCAACCTTCTACATTCCTAATAGGATTACGAAACAATTAAGGGAACGTAGGTCTTCAAATTTGAATGAATTCTAGGTTTGAATAACCCAAGGGATGGCTGCTTTGACATGATTTTGGTCAAAACCAGTTTTGACTGATTTTAGTGGTTAACAATGCTTTTGAGCGATGCTCTCGGTCAAAACAACGTTGGACCGAGCGGTCTAAGGTGCTTTTGACCGACGTTCTTGGTCAAAAGTGGTTTTGCCTGACTTGGGGATCAGACTATCAGTCAAAACTCATAAGATAGTTACTAAAAATTACCAGAACAATAATCAAAAAGTGAATCCGTTTTTAAGGTGTAAAGCTCAAGTTTTTTCTACATATAAAAATTAATTGAAATCGTACTGAATACGCACGGAAATCATTACGTGATAAGCTTTTGCTTCCCATGCATAAGCGAAGTATTGTATGCCGAAAATTTTATTTAAGAAGTTTGTTAATGTTTAATAACGTTCGCATCACGAAAACTCATTTGACTTATTTTTGTTGCCGTTGGTCTCTCTGATTACGTAATCTCGGTCATAGTAGATGATGCTTTTCTATCATTTAGAACTTTCTAATAACATTATTTGCAGAGGTTGAAATTTTGGAACAGATCCAATATTTGCTTTACAGCATTTAATATTTTTTTGAAGACTTGAAAGTTGGGAAATCTAGAAAGGTTCATCTTTTAAATTACATGTATGATACGAATGGAAAATTTTAAAATAGACTTATGTGGATCTGCGGGAAGTACCGAGTCAAGCTACATCACGGATTGTACGATGCTTTCTTTTAATTCAGGTTTTGATCCAATCTTAATTATTTTGTAGCCCGATGTGAAGGAAGTACAACCAAAAACTGCTATCCAGCAGTATTCAAATATATTCTTAGTTGCTGTACGAAATTTCACGTGTAAAATGTCAGAAGATGCGGAGTTACTCATGACATTATATGACGGTAAAGAATGTAAGGCCATAACAGAAAACTATGTCGTTCGATGGACCAAAGAGGGGCTAATGAGTGACCTTGACCAAATGTACAACTTAAGAGTTATGTTTACGGTAAGTATGCGACGTTGGATTTCATGAACTACGAGAACTAGTTCGCTATTTGTTAATGATAGATAATCCAATAACAATTCTAATTTAGCTATTTTTGACATTGTCTAACTGACCCTGTCTGTTAGCTTCAGTTTGCATTAAATGTATTTAAATTTACAACACTACAAACCTGTTTCAAATTGCCAGTATCTGATTCATGTTCAGAACCTATAGTTTTCCATTCTACCGTAATTAGAATCTGCTAGGCATCTAGTCTTGATATACTCTAAAAATTGGCAATATTTTATAAATTACAAAAATACATAATTTTATGGTATGGGAGAAAAGTTGCTGAACGCGTGAATAGTAATGTCTTCAGTCATTATCTCAAAAATCCCGACTTTTTAGCATTTAAGGCAAAAGACGTTTCTCCTACTTGAAATATCATTATTACCGTAAAATCTAGTTGAAAAACGCAGTCATGAGCATACTGTCCTCTAATTATTTATTAAAAAACAGTATATCAACCAATATTGTCACCTGACAGGTCTATAATACAGATTGTTTTTTAGAAAATTCACATTCCCCTTATTATGTCGGGTAATCGTCAACTAATTGCACTACATATTAGTATTTTGTTCTTTCACGATTTTATACATTCTACCTGTTGGAGGCATTGAGTTGCTTCATGGCGTTTCAATTATACAGGGTTTATCTCCCCACCTAAATATTTCGAAAAGTTCGCATCCTAGAAAAAAAAATTCAATCAAAACTTGTAGGGGTACCATTATGGTAATTTTTAAATAGAACTGCCCCTTTTTATGACCATTACCATAAACTTGGCTATTTCATTCAAGGCCATTCCTTCATGGTCAAGCAAAAATTGCAGAGGAAACCTCATTTTTATACTGGAAATAGAAAAAGCAGGAAATTTTACGTCCGAATGTGACCTTGACCTGAAATTCAATGTCATTGACGGACATTTTTGGTAGAGCAAAAAAGATGTCTTGGTTTGACCTTGACATGGCCTTGAAGGAAATAGTTAAGGTCATGTTGATTGTCATATTCGGTCGTAAAAGTTCCTCCTCTTTTCAACTCCGATGTAAAACACGGGGCTCTATTTAAAAATGTTATACGTTGAAGAGACCCTAATGGTCGTGGTCAAGGTCATTGTGAAGTGTACCATCATTTTCCACCTCGAAATCCTACATCTTTTTTCTTCTTTTTTCTAGAATGAACAGTTTCCGGAATATTTAGCCGGGGAGATTAAAATGCTTATTTCTCACAAAAACACTAATATACCACCCAAGTGATAAATACATGTCATTCTTCCAGTATATTGTAAATATTTCCAGATCCACTCTTTCTCTATAGATTGGTTACAGGGTCAGATATCTATAGACATAGACCCAGAAAATCATTTTACATATTCTACTCCTTTCAAATTAGCCAGCTTTAGCTATCAGATTATGTAGAAAGTCAGGTTTTGACCAGGTTTATACAGTACTGAACCTTAAACTCAAAGAATTTCATGACCTCTTGATACTTAAGATTATTAACCTATTTTTGAGTTTTTCGCTTTCAATTTGAATCGTTACCTACAATGTTCACCTACAATGCTACCAAAAAATAGTTCACGCTTTTCTATATTCTTGACGTTGTATGTTGGATAAATATATGATGTTTTCAACATGCTTTAAATTCTCTGTTGTATATTTGACGACTAGAACATCGAGAAGTTTCATGTATCCAATGTTGTTTCTTATTGATTTTATAGGATTTAGGTAAAAGGGATTTGGAACGTGAGAAGATATTTCTCATCTGTCATGTGATAAGGGTTGGTGCAATGGACATAAAAGAGTGCGATCACCGTCGCACCTCTGTTAGTGGTTTGGCTAAGAAAAGTAGTAATGACAATATGAGGCGGCCGTGTGGAGTAGCCGCGTTTGACATCACTAATTACATGAATGGCAAGCTGGACACAGATCTAGATCAGGAGTTCGCCGTGCCTTTTGTCAGGTATGTATTGATACAACAAGTAGTCTGAAAAATGTAACAAAGTCGTTAGGGAAAGCTGTAAGGAAACAAAATAAAAATGTGTCAATACTCTATCAGAGTATGAGTCGCGCCAGGAAAAAAGCCCAGCATCTATTTTTGAATATCTAAAGATACACATGAAAATAGTTTTCTATTTTTTCATATGGACATTTTATTGCTGTTACACTTAAATCGAGCAAAAATCTTTCAAGTTATTGCTAAGAAACCGGTAAAAAACTTTTATTTACTTTCCACGGCACGAATGAGGTAGTATTGTAATCGCGAAAAATTTCGAAAATGAGACATGTTTCTTGAATCTTATATGACATGTACATTTCTGCCGGTCTGTCTGTTCGCTAATCATTGGCCCGTCTATAACTTGGAAAGTACTTCTCAGATTTTATGATATTTTCACTTACAGTTATTACTATGCCAGGAACGAAAAAACTTTTCGAAAATCGGTTCAGTGGGGGCGGAGCGAGGGGCAAAAAACGAAAAAATTAAAATCGTTCAAAATAGCCACTGGCGAGAGAATATTGTAATTGCGAAAAAAATAGAAAATGTTGCATTTTACATGACATGTGCCACATAAAAAACCGTCACTCATTTCCGTTGGTCTGTCTGTCTGAGTGTCCGCTAATTTTTGACCCCTGTGTAACTATAGAAGTCGCTGTACAATATACCTGCATCGGGGTATCATCGATGTATGTCGATATGCTTGCAGTTTATTTTGAATGTCTTCAGAATGCCATAGTAGCAAAAAGAGTTTACGTGACTCGATATCCAAATCGTCAATGTGAGAGTTTTTCCTCGATTAGTGGCGAGCTTACGAGCTAATGGTAGGTTTCGGCCTACGTTTCAACGGCAAAGAATTGGAAGAACACATTAACCGCGCACTGGGATATATTGAAGGAAATCCTCATGTTAGCACAAGGGCATTATCCCTTGAATTGAGCATATCTCGAACAACGGTCCAAAATATTTTGAAGGGCCATAGGTAAGTTCCAGTGGCCATCAAAATATAGGGATTTATTTAGACTTAAATTTTTTTAACTACTTTTAGAATGCACACATATGTCGTTTTCTATCAGACTTTGATCGTAGGTTGGACTATTGGATGTTAGGCATGATACTCGAAAATAGAGAATTGTTATTTCATACTCTTTGGACCGATGAAGCCACCTTTAATAGTGAGTTGGTTGCATGAAGTTCAGCACCAAGGGCGTTGGAGTTTAAATGTATGGTGTGGCATACTGGGAGGCAGAATTATTGGGCCCTATTTTTTCGAGCAATTCCTAAATGGCGATGCCTTTCTTGATTTTTCGGACAATCAGTTACCATTGATGTTGGGAGATGTGCCTCTGAAAACACGGAAAAACTTGTTTTTGTAGATGAATGGTTGCCCATCACATATTTTTTAAAGAAAAAGTAGCTAAATGATGTCTAAACAAGCCCGCGAAAACAGCATCTCGATATCTTGTTCCTAACCTAAAATTTAGGCCAAAGAGAATTTTATACGGAAATCTCTTATTAAATTTTTATTTTTGTAAACTATTTTTTCTGAAATTTCTTTTTATTATTAAGTTGATTCCCTAAACAGGACAGATTTAAAAAAGAAAGGTTTTTAATACCCCCGTAAATGCTCGGAATGCTGACCATCACGCTTTATGCATTCCCGAAGCCTCTCGTGGGTAGACAAAACTGCAGCTTCAATTTCGGTTCTCGGGATGTTACGTATTGCATTACGAATCCGGTTTCTCATATCTTCTCCGGTTGTAGGTTGAATCTGAAACACGATGTCCTTTAACCGTCCCCGTAAATGAAAATCAAAACAAGTTAAGTCTGGTGATCGCGAAAGCCATCGAAACAGACTTCCTCTTCCAATACACCACTGTTGAAATACTGCATTAATATGGTCTCGCACAATAATAGCACAATGTGCTGGGCGACCACCCAACTTCAAAAACAAATTTTGTCGTGATTCTAGTGGCACATCTTCCAACATTAATGGTGATTGATTGTCCAAAAAGTCAAGAAAGGCATTGCCATTTACGGATTGCTCGTCCCGAATGATCTCACTGGTGGTGGATCTCGATATCAGCACGACTGCCCTTTCTCGCAGTAGGAGTTCTTGAAGAAGTAACAATCCACACACTTTCCAGGAGTTAGCCGTCTAGGACTGTGACAACATACCAAGAATCGAATGCCTGAATACCGGAAGACTACCTCAAGCTTGCTTTGGATGATTCTCCAGTCCAAGTTGTACAGTCCACATGCCAGCTTAGGTATTGCCAGTTTTCTTAGGTCCTCGGCAAGCAACACTTCTCTAAGAGAACACAAAGTGCTCCAGACATCCTCGTAATTCGGTTTCTGATACGAAGCTTTCTTGGTAACCAGATAGAAGATCTTTCGGTTGGTACCCTTTTCAGTTATCTAGAATATTTCTCCGACTTCCGGGTTAGATTGACGCAGCTCGGGCAGTCTTCCAAACTTCCTGAGAAAGACCTTTGCTATACCTCTCTACATTTGCAAGTCACACAGTGTGCCAGGGCATACTCTGGTGAAGTGGTAAACAGATCTTGCTGTACTAAGCATGTCACGCCATCCTGACTCTTATGGCCATTAGCATGGTGAGCCATACATTGGTCAAATGCTATGTCCTGTTCTGGTTGGATTTGCCGCACCGCCGTATCTTCATTGTTTCCATGATAAGGGGCAAGTCGGTTGAAATGTACAATTCGGGCTTTACCACGTGGTGCCTTCTGAATCCTGTAGGGAACATCGTGTGTAACGCAGTAGTCCTGGTTTTCTTAATCCCAAGGATTTGATAAATATTTTGGAACAGATTTGATTTGAAATTGCGCCCTTGGCCCAAATGCAACTCTAAAGGTACACCAAATCGAAATATCCATTCCTTTACTAAAGCATCGGCTACTGTAGATGTTTCCTGATTTGGTAGAGCGTATGCCTCAACTCACTTGTTGAAGTAATCCATCACCACAATGATCTATTTATACCCTGCTTCACTTTCTGTAAGCGGTCCCGCCACATCCATAGCAATCCTTTCAAAGGGGCTCCCCACGTTGTATGGGCGCATCGAAGCTTTTGGTTTCCTTTGCGGTCCATTACTTGCCGCACACACAACGCATTTTTCCATCACTTTTCCCAGGTTTTTTGTAACTCCGAGATGAGCTCCTGACACACCGGAATGGATTTCTTCTAGCAGCTTCGGTATCCGACATCTGGGATAACGATTTGCCTTATTTCCTCTTTGCCGTCCTGGTCCACCATTTTACGCAGTAAGAGTCCGTCGACATAATTAGAGAATTCCATTGTGCCCAATATGATTTTATGGTAGAGGAATACTTGGCAACTTCTTCCCAAGTTGGTTTCCGTTGGTCTTTCATCCAGTTCAGAATTATTTGGAGATCGGGGTCGCCCTCCTGGTCTTTGTTTTGCCAAGTTGCACTAACGATAGTGGGTCTTAATACTTGGACATCTTTCTCCTCTGCCCACTGGCAATGCTTACAATCCTCTAAACAGGGTCTCCTCGATAAGGCATCTGTATTTCCATGGATTTTTCCCGCTCGATGTTCGATGTCGAAGTCAAACTCTTGCAGCCTCTCTATCCATCTTGCAACTTGACCCTCTGGATTCTTAAACTGGAGAAGCCATTTTAAAGCTGCGTGATCGGTCCGGAGTAAGAATTTTCGGCCATAGAGGTATTTGTAGAAATGTTCCATTGCCTTTACGACGGCCAGCAACTCCCTCCGGGTAACGCAATAGTTACGCTCTGGTTTGGACAATGTTTTTCTAAAATAACCCATGACCTTTTCTTCTTTGCCTTCCTGGACATGGGATAATACAGCACCTATTCCCACATTGCTAGCATCAGTGTCTAACACAAATTTTCCTTCTGGCAGTGGATAGCTTAGTATAGGGGCGCTTGTTAAAGCTTCTTTCAAGTAGGTAAAAGCTTGTTGGCAATCCTGATCCCATTGGAATTTGTTTTCCCCTTCTGTTAGCCTGGTCAATGGTTTTGCGATGTTAGCAAATTATTCTATTTAACGTCGGTAATATGTACACAATCCTAGGAAGCTGCGTAGCTCACGTTTGTCCTTCGGGACTGGCCAATCTTTTACAGTCTGGATTTTCTCATTGTCAACCGCGACTCCCTGATTGGAAACAATATGGCCAAGATACTGCACAGCTTTTTGAAACAGGTGACATTTCTTTGGGCTTAATTTCAAGCCAGAACCTCGTAGCCTTAAGGAAACTTCCTCCAGGTTCTTCATGTGGTCCACAAATGATTTTCCTATCACATTGTCATCAAGGTAAACCAAGCACGTTTTCCAGGATTGTCGTCGTAGAATCGTGTCCATCAGCCTTTCAATGGTGGCAGGAGCATCGCACAGGCAGAATAGCATCACATTAAACTGCCATAATCCGGTGCCCATCGTGAATCCTGTCTTCTCCTGATCTTCAGGGGCCAATTCTACTTGCCAGTATCCGCTTTTTAGGTCGAGGGTGGAAAACATTTTTGATCCAACCAGGGAATACAAAGTGTCATCAATACGTGGTAGAGGGAGCTGTCCTTCTTGGTCCCGTTGTTTAACATTCGGTAATCCACACAAAATCTGGTTGAACCATCATTCTTTTTAACCAAAACTACCGATGAGGCCCATGGACTGTTGGACGTTCAATGATTCCCTCGTTGGCCATACTGTCGACGATCTTGTCAGCCTCTTCTCTTTTAGCAAGTGGATGCCTTCTTGCCATCCACCGGATGGGACGGGCATTTTCCGTATTGATCTTGTACTGGACTATATTGGTTCTTCTTTTCTGACCAGTATCGAATACATCCCGATATCTGTATTAGATGTTTCAGTTTATCTCTTTGGTCTGGTCTTAGATCTCTGCCTGATGACGATATTAGTTCTTCCAGTTCCTTAGGAGTGACCCCTAAGTTGTCGACAGCTGGCATATTTCGAATGATTGCAGAAACTGGACAGCAGTGTCCCAGCTCCGAGCCCTTCTTCAATGACACAGGGTAATGGCTGACATTCATAAGTCTCACAGGAATAGTTTTATCAGCACGCACAAGGGCTTTTGCAACTGGTATCCCTCGGCCAATATCCTCGTCATGCATCCTAGGTTCAAACATGACTATTTCTCCTTTTGTAGTATGGCCATCTACCGAGACATTCAATACAACTTCGCTTCGTTCTGGGATCACGGCAATAAAACTCTTATGTTTCCATTCCTTTCCCGGTGTAAAATGACCTCACTGTTGACTCTCAAGATTCCTTGCTTAAAGTTCGACTCAACTTTGTGCTCATGAGGTCCATTCCGATAATTACCTCGTCTTCAATATCAGCTACTATCGCCTGATATTCGAATGTAGCTTTTCCTATTCCAAATACGATGTACACGTTTGCTCGGTCTCCTGTCGAATGTCCAATAATCCACACCCCACGTCTGACACCAGTTTAGTGTTTTTCTGGGTTCTTTCGATTCCACAAAAAGAAATGCACTAATTAATTTACAACACAACCAACTTTAACTTAACGAGGTAGAACATTTATGTACACCACTGTCTGACTACTTATTTACGAATTAAATTGGCGCACTATTCACCCAACTCCGCCCCCCGCTCCAGCCGTCGGCTTATGCCGCATTGCGGTACGCATTAATTCGAGAAAGTTCCTGTACGCTACATAGCGGCCACTGCAGAACCTTCGGGGTCAGTCTCGCACCTCGCTTCAATGCCGAACGAGAGTCCCTGGCGCGGTTCCCAACAGATGGCGCTAGCAGTACCATTCATTCTTGTTACAATAAGTGTGCATTCTAAAAGTAATTAAAAAAAATAAATCTAAATGAATCCCTATATTTTGATGGCCACTGGAACTTACCTATGTTCCTTCAAAATATTTTAAACCATTGTTCGTGATATGCCCAACTCGAGAAATAATGTCATTGTGCTAACATGAGGATTTCCTTAAATATTTCCCAGTACGCGGTTAATGTGTTCTTCCAATTCTTTGACGTTGAAACGTAGGCCGAAAATTATCATTGGTTCGTAAGCTCGCCGCTAATCGAGGAAAAACTCTCACATCGCCGATTTGGATATCAATTCGCGTAAACTCTTTTTTCCACTGCGGCATTCTGAAGACATTAAAAATAAACTGCAAGCATATCGACAGTTTCGTCGTACGTAAAACGCATTTGGTAAACACAAAAATTGCTCAAAGTAACGAAAAACTATTGACAACTATTGAAAATTTCAGGATTATTTATGTTTTGATTAGGTATTTGTGTGTTTTATCCCATGACATGCTTCTGTTGCCTTTTTCTTATATACTCGTATTTTGTAATATTTTCAAAAAGGGTGATTTTATGCTGATGAATAAAGAATAATTCCAGAAAAATTAGTTGAAAAAAATAAAAATTTGAGGGATTTCCGCATAAAATTTTCTTTGGTCTAAATGTTGGGTTACGAACGAGATAACATGCGGTTTCGCGCAAATTGTTTATGTTTAGACATCATTTAGCTACCTTTTCATAAAAAAAGCATACCAATGCATTTAGTTTTTTTGAGAAAATTAACCATTTCTGTCGGAATGTCGAAAAAAGCCCTCCAGCGTCCACATGTGCAACTAACAAAACTTCAAATATTATAACATGGGTAGCCCAAGTATAGCTCTTTTGAACTAGCCCAAGTTTGTTAAAATCGTCTCGGCCGTTTCGAAGATACAGGGTGTTTTTTACGGAAACCGTTGAATACCTCCCCACCACTTTATTTCTTAGCAGCCATTTCAGAAATATGATGATATTTTCTAGGTTTTTCTCTTGGCCATTTTAGTAAGAACTTTTTTTGCTGCAAGCCTCTACGATGGATAGGTTCCCAGATACAGTACCTCGCATTCTTAGTTGGCAACCTGTACAAGTTGTACATGTGCTGAACATGATCCGTTATTAACTAATGACAGTGTTGTGTGGGAATTACAGAGCCAACTAACTTGACGCCATCTTTTCGTAAAAAATGTGTATATTGACACGTTATAGAAACACAGTTCAAATGAAAATTAATATTTTTTTGTTGTATTTTTTTAGTAAATAGAATTCTTAAAATTCGTCATACAGATCAAGATGATGTTCGTATAGTGTGCTTATCTTATTATGCAAATCAAGGTTTTTTGTGCGTGCTAAATATTTAAAAATTTATTTTGCAGGTATCTAAGTATGGAATAAAGGATTTACATTCTGTTGAAAATATAATATCTATGTGAAACATAAAAAATTATGTTCATACAGATTGTTTAGGTAATAAAAATTAGATGCTAGACTTTTCTTCCAGCACGACCGATATTTTACAGAGATACCTTTTGACAAGTTTTGACCAAATATTTTGCCCCTTACAATTTCCCTGGGAATATTATCTATAACATCCACCACTTTGCCTTTATTAAAAAGACAACCTGTTTGGTAAGATATTCTTATGCCAGAAACGATAATAGAGAATATATGATAATTTTGTTTTTCTATGTAGCGTAATGCATAATATTTGAGAAAATTAAAACTGTGACGTTTAGCACCACATCAAAGGGCGGTTACGTCGATGGCGAACGAAAAAAGGCTCTCTGATCTCCTTTTCTAGAAACTGCGGATTCCTTGCTGGCATTAGCTCTTCTCTCACTTGGAGGCTCTTTATCCAAATAGGGCCGCACTAAAAGGGGGTTTATAGCAGTTTTATCAAAGTTGCTGGTTGTTTTGTGTTCAAAACTCTTGCGGTTTTAGCGAAACTCACTCTCTCCAGGCTTGCGGTGGATTGCGAAGTGGTACGTCGCAAGAGGGCTCTGTCATTAACTATTCTTGCGCATTCTATATAGGGGAATTCAGCACAAACAGTATGGATTGAATAAAAACAATACAATTTGTTTTCCCCGCGAAAATGGACCTACATTTATAATGACGTCACACTTGTTATTTATTTTCTTGATTACCTAAAAGTTATCACACAACTTTGTGTCCAAGTGTCATCGTATTTGAAAGGAGTATTCCGAACGATACTACCAGCTACTTATGGAATGCGAAAAGTAGTTGGAAATAATATCGATTCATTTGATTCAGAGCTATTTGCTCTTTCGGATTATTAAAGAAAGCGTATCCTAGTTGACCATACACTCTAATATCTTGTCATAAACAGTAGTAACGTTAAATATGATAATATTATTTCATAGATTTCCACACATTTTATTGACATATTTCATACTAATATTTTTACAGTTCCCTATTAAATAATAAAAAATCAAGGTTTAGGTCTAAGCATGATAAAACCATAATCCAATTATTAAGACGTAAGATAATTTTGGCGTATATTTGTTACAGCTGTGAAAAAGATAATTTAGAGCAAACTTTACGGAAAGTGATCACCAAGGAGAGGTTTGAAAACAAGAATCAAGCATTATTTGTCAGTATGAAATTGTTGAGAGGAGACCTGAAGCAGGTAATTAATTTATATGGCACTCGGTGTAAAAGGGCACAGAGCGGCAATAACGTACGAAACAACACGAACTATCCGTGCTCTGAGGATTAGATAGCCACGGTGTAACTGGCGAATTTTTGTAATAATTTCATTTATGTGTCCTGTCAAAATATTGTGACATTGTTAGAAAAAACTGTGAATCTACCATTTATGTTTAAATTTATTATTTCGTTAATATAAACTAAAAATAGGATCCGACCTAGTACTAATACTTGATACTCCTGCTTTTATATTTAATTCGTTTGAAAAATATAATATCTTGATACTTTTACAAATAGGGATCGATTATTTATATGTGCTTTAAACCAATTTAGCGAAGTTCCAGTACAACCATATTTGTTTAATTTATTCAATAGGTTATCATGATTTAGACAGTCAAAAGATTTGGAAAAGTTACAAAAAAGTGCAATTGAAATTTGTTGATCGTTTTATTTGAATATTTGTATAACTGCTGGAGTAATGTGAAAATAGCATCCATAGTATTTTTTTTTATTTTTGAAATCCAAAATAGTTGTCACTTATAATTTTGTTAATTATTAGAAAGTCTGCAATTTAAACTATTTCTTATATTATGTTTGCTATAGCAGTAATAAACTTTGGGGCTATAATTTTCTGGTCCTCCTTTTTAAATAAAAATATTTATAAGTTTTGTTAGCTTAACCAGAGCATCAAGACGATGATTTTTTTATTTTTGATAGGTCTTAATACTAATTGCAGTTCAGAAACATCCTCAGGATAAATAATTTCTGATCTATATTTTAATGATTTAGATTTGTTAACGGGTCGTCAGTGTTTTATATAGAATTTTTTATTTTTTGCTATTTTACAGTGATAATAAATTAATATGTCAGGTTTAATAAGTGGTATGTTAGTGGAAAGTCGGAGGTTTGCCTCTTAATTCATTTATGACTTTCCAGGCCTCCTTGGTTTTATTTCCTGCACTCATTTTCTGTTTATAACAATTCTTTTTTGCTGAAGTTAAAACATGTTTATATATCCCATGATTCGACGTACAATTGCTGCTGATATTTTCATTTTTTATCAATTACTTGATATTATAACAGGCATAAATTCACGCTTGAGAAAAAATGCGTCAAATCCTCAATTTTTTTGGCTTGTTCAACAGATGTAATATATTTGCTTTCAAAATGTCATCCATTTTGTTTTCAATTCTTTCAATGATGGTATCTTTTTCTACTATGCTGCTTGCAATGAAATTGTAATGGTCTTGTAGCTTTATTACCTAATCGTTTATATTATCCTCGAGCATAAGTATGGTCTTCCTTAGTTCAGGTTTTTCTTTATTCAAAAGGTCATTTGAATAAATTGTGCTCATTGTCTCATGTGCAAAGAACTGTTACTTTAATACATTAATGTTATTTTTGTTCGAGTTTTTCATTTACTGTTTCTAGAAGAAAACTACTGCACTTCCTCAGTGAACTTTTATTAGTTCTGTACAAAATGACAACTCAACTTAAATACTCTTGTCAATCTTTCAAACCGTTCAGATATCCGACTACTCGAAGTTACGTCGAGTACACTACGACTAAACTTCGTAATCTCTTATTTTGTAATTATTCTCAAAAATTTGTATATACTTTTTGTTCAGTGTCGTGTTTTCTCAGTTAAATTTAACCATTATCACCTGTGATTTGTAGCAGTCAGCCTTATATCGGCTTAGGAGCAGTCGTATCATCCTTTTCAGATGTCCAACAAATTTTGCCGATATACATTTTGGTATCCATCGATCAGTATTGATTTTTTGACTGCTTAACCTATTATGAATGGGCGTTAGTTGATGAATTCAGAGATGTGCTGGAGCATTATATGAAAACAAGTAACCCAATACAATCCTGGATAATCTGAAAGGAGATCGAAACCATTTCTAAATACAGTCATGGACTAAAAATGTCTTTGTTTGAAAAATAATGGTAATGTTATGTTTTAATTGAAGCAAGTTGTTCAGGGAGGTATTTGAAACATGGGAGCATAAAATGGGTACACATGCATGGGAAAATGCGCCTTTGAGTTAAATCGAAAGTGTTCGCATGAGGGAAAAATATCATTTTAAAAAGAAATAAGTTATTGCAGTGGCGGTTCCACTGTAGGAGCACATGAGCACGTGCACCCCCAAAATAAATAATAATAAATATGTATAACATCCATTTAATAATTTCTCAAATAAAGTCTGAGCCTCCCTGATATTTAATCGTATAAAATCAAAGATCTAGTAGCTCTCCACTGGTGAGTCACCACTCTTACCGCTGCGCTGCCTGATTCGGGCGATTCCGACTTGTGATTCGGTCTGGCCCGGTCCGACTGCCGCCGACGGGTGACGGCGGATGACGACGAATAGTGGCATATGCGATCATGTACGCGGAATTAGTGTGTTTCTCACCCTGCTGTTCTGGTTGCGGGGTATAGCGGGGTTATGGCAATTTTAGTTGGAGAAGGCGCACACTTCCGGAGTGCGCCATTGTCCGTTGCGCGTGCATTTTTAGCAGTAATCGGAGGTGTGTTCGAATTTTTATGTTCGTAGCAGTGTTTTAATAAAATATTGAGTTAAAATGAATGGTTTCACTGTGGAATATTTGAAATATATCTTCAGTTCATTGAGTTTGGAGCAAAAAATTAAAATAAAAAATGCGGGAAGACCTACACTAGAAATTAACTTAACTCAGACCACAAAGGGTAAATCTAGAGACTTTATTAGAAAGTTTAAAATGGAAATATATGAAAAGAATAACTGGATTTGTGGATGCAGCACAACAAACCGTTTGTTTTGTTTTTCCTGTTTGTTGTTTGGTCACGGGGTTGCAGAGCCTGCCTGGACAAAAAATGGAATAGCCGACTTGGGACATTTAGCACAAAAAATTAAGAAACATGAAAACACTCAAGTCCATATCAATGCGCAACTGGAAATGCAGCTTTTGGGAAAAGTAGATATACGGCAGCAGTTGGACAGTGCATATAGGCGCAGTATTCAACAGCAAAATGAACAAGTTAGAAAGAATAGGTATGTGCTTTCAAAAATTATTGATTGCATAAAATTTTGCGGAGCTTTTGAATTAGCCCTCCGCGGTCACGACGAAAAAGATGGTTCATCAAATCCTGGTATTTTTAGAGGTTTAATAAATTTCACTGCTGAATTAGATATAGCACTTAAAGATCATTTTGAAAAATCGACAGGATACAAAGGGGTATCAAAAATCATTCAAAACGAATTGTTAGATTGCATGTTACAAGTGGCTCAGGAAAATATAAGAAAAGAAATTTTGGAAGCTGAATTTGTTGCTGTTATGGCTGACGAAACAACGGATGTACCTAATTGTTATCAAATGACTACAGTATTTAGGTACATTCTACCAGATGGAAGGCCAGTTGAACGTTTTTGGAATTTTGTTACCCCCCCTGACCACGATGCAGTTAGTCTCTCAGAATGTGTGAGAACTAATTTAATACAAGTGCTAGATAAACCAGAGGAACTGATAGTTCAAAGTTATGACGGCGCTAGTGTAATGAGTGGACGTCGTGGAGGTGTTCAAGCTCTTATTCAACGTGATTATATTTATGCTTATTTCGTTCATTGTTATGCCCACCAGCTAAATTTGATTTTATTGCAAGCTACAAGCCAAAATCAAGAAGTACGGGTATTTTTTTCAAATTTAAGCGATATTTCAACTTATTTTTCTCATTCTCCACAACGAGTTGCAGTTTTGAATGACATTGTTGGTGCAAGAGTTCCTAGGTCTTCTGTTACAAGATGGAATTTTAAAAGCAGATCTATAAATACAGTATATGAATATCGCGAATTGTTAATAGAATACATGGAAAAAATAGAAGCTACTTCAAAACAAACTGTTACCATCAATCAAGCCACTGGTATTGGCCGTATGCTACAAGATTCTAAGTTTGTGTTCTGGCTAACTGTATTTCATCGAATATTGCCACATGCTGATATTTTATATAATCAGTTACAAAAAACAGTGACTGACCCAGTGCAAATTCAGACTGCCATAAAGTGTTTTGAAAACTGCATCCAAAAAGAGAGAGACTGCTTGGAAACAATTGAAACTGAAATTTCTGAAGATACCACTACTACTCAAACTAAAAAGCGTCGTGCAAATGAAGACCAGCATATTTGCAGAGCTGTTGCAGCCAAGGAAGTTTGTGATACCATAATTACACATGTAACAGATAGATTTTCTTTTACAAAACATTTAAATGCAGCTCTTCTTTCTTCTGATAAATTTCCACAGTTTTAAAAGCATTTTCCATTGCAATATTTGGAAACTGTAGTAGAAGCATATTCGTTTTTAGATAAAGTTCGTCTCCAGACTGAATTGGAATTAATTTACCGGCGACCTGACTTCAGGAATATGACTGGTGCCATTAGTTTGTTACAGTTTTTTATAGAAAATAATCTTCAGAGCATATTGTCTGCCACCTTTACACTTATACAAATAATTGTTACCATACCAATGACTACGGCCGAAAGTGAAAGATGCTTTTCGACATTGAAGAGAATAAAAACATTTTTGCGAAGTTCTATGAATGAAGAACGACTGTCAGCGCTAGCAATGCTATCTATCGAGAAAAAATGTATAGCGGGTATTCCAAACTTTAACGAGTTAGTTATTGATAAATTTTCTGCAAATAAAATCAGGAGAATGGACTTTACGTTTAAACACTGTACTCATTAAAAAAATTGTATTTTTTATAAATGTATTTTCTTGTGTATAATAAAAAAAAATAACAAAAAATGTGTCCTTGATGCTTGTTTTAGTACTCTTATTGCCTTCTACGTCACGCATTACATAAAAATTTTGGTGGTGGCAAAAAAAAATTATTTTATACCACTTGTGAACCCCCTGTATCATAGACCACGAGCCGCCGCTGAGTTATTGCCAAAAAAATCGCCAAAATGCAGGTTTGTAATGCGACGATAGTATCACGCATAT